TATTTCGATACTAAAGACTCGTAAATATGCATTTGCTTTCCAATTGAATTGTAAGATAATTTGAGCACAAAATCGAGAAAAAAAAGGTGGCCTTCAAAAATATTGAGCCGGTTGGCGTGACGAACACCCCCAACATATCAAAACAACGAGGTTATATAGGCCTAAATAACGTGGCAAACGGCATAATATTTTTATAAGCTACCACTTTTCTCGATTTTGTGATAAAAATATCTTACGATCCAAGTAGAAAGCAAATGGATATTTAAGTTTTTAGTTATAAATTAAATAGACAAAGTTTGTCGATCTCCAGATTGGGAACGTCCGAATTCCAAGAATTTTCGTAAATAAAGTAGTGTTCGGTTACGAAGAGATGAAGCTTTTCAGGCGGATGTTAATAATTTGATAAGAAAAAATCTGTACCACTGACTACAAATTTTAATAGATCAAAGTTGTGGAACTTCGTCTATCTTGAACAAATACAAAAATGGGCATGGTGTTCTTTTCCTCCGGGGTGCAGATATATATTTACTAGAGGAGTGATATGAATTTAATAGAAAATACTAACATGATTATTAATATAGAACAAATTATAATTTGATTCAATCTGAACGAAGTGGAAATATTTGGATATAAAGCTTAGATGGCTTTTGAAAACAGCAAAGTATTTTGAATTTTAAAGATAGTATTTATTACTATTGTTTACGAAATGATTCATTTATTTTAAAATACTTTTTTCTACATCAAAGTTATGTTTTATCAATTTTTTAATAATTTGGATATCTAAATCGTTTATCAGTTGTATTTTTCTTCAACGATCTCTCTCTCTCTCTCTCTCTCTCTATATATATATATATATATATATATATATATATATATATATGTTTATATATATATATATATATTAATATATCAGGAAATCTACTTACATCTCTGTTAGTGAATCTTTTATAATGAGGCACATTGTACTCGTATTTCCTATTGTAATATATTACATAAACTAGAGAGAAAATAAGTATAGAATATATATTTCTAATTTAATTGTATTAAATATTAAATATATTGTCTTATTTGATAGATGATATTATTGTTTGGCACCTTTTTATTGCGATAAATGTAGGTTCAAGCTATCTTTTTCAACGAAAAAGAAAAAAAAATAATCCCTTTGTTAGCTTCGATGGTCGCCTAAAGATGGCAGCAAGAATCAAACAGGTGTCGCCACCTATCCATCTGTTTCAAAACTATTATTGTTATTATTTAACTATTCAAAAGTATTATTTCTAAACTATTATTTAAAATTATCCTTATATTTTTTTATGTCTATTTTAAATTTTTCAAACTGTTCACTGTTAGTATTAAATTTTTTCATGGTAAATTATCATTAATGATAAATAGTAAAAAACATCTACTGCTTCAATAGCAGACTTTTGATGATTTATTTTCACTGTTTCTTAACTTTTAACCTTCCAACTATTAAGTTCTCATGCGTAAAAAGAATTCTATAATGATTTTATAATACGGAAAATAAATTAATAATTATTTGATTTATAATTGAATTTAAAATTAACAAATAATTAAACCATTTAAAATAACACTAAATGATATTTATTTATATCATTTTTATAGAAAGTAAAGAGCTTAAAAGTATTTTCCAAGTTCGATTCCTAACATAACTGTATTTGTCACACTTTTTTTTTATATATATTATTTTTCTATTTTTTAAAATAATTTTAGTATTTTAATTTTAAAATAATATCTAGTCTGTTTAATTGTTTTCAAACTTTATAGACTTTAAATTAATCATTATAAGAGGTCAATTATTTTATATTTTTTTGCTAATTTAAATGATTATTAAATGGTATCCTATTTTAATACGAAATATTAAATATATGAAAACAAACGTTTATTTTAAGATTGTGCATTTGTACCAAATTTTCTTAATAACCTTATAAAAATCAAAGGTAATTATAGGGTTTCAAAAATTGTTTAATTATAGTTTTTATTATTTATAGCCATACAAAAAAGTTGACTTTTCGAATATTTTGCAGTATGATCTGTTAAATGATATCTAAATTTACTTATTGAATATAAGAGAACACAAATCAATATTTATATATATTTTAAAATGCAATTATTGTTAGATGCTTACGACTAATTAATCATACTTCTTTCATTTCAAAGCAGCTCTAAGAAGTTTATGCAACCTTTTGATAATAATAATGTTTTAGTTTTTGTCTGGTATCATTTCTTTCTTTTTTTTTGTAACCAATTTTTTTTTCATTAAAAAAATGTACTAAGTTTAATTATGTAAATATGTTTTCTATTTTTCCAAAAATATCCATTTTACGGTTTAGTAAATTTACAAAAATAAAACTTCCTTAAATCATTCAGATTCCCATTTATAAGGGCCCAAGTTAAATGTTTTTAATGTTTTTCTTATTAATATTTAAAATAAATATCAACTTTAATTGTAATTAATTATAATATTCAAAAACATTTCTTTTAAAATATCTCGCCGTAACAAATATAGTAATTTTATTTGAAAGGTCATCTTATTTAAAATTATAATTGTAAAAAAATTATGAAAACTCTTAGGTTTTTTTTTTTTAAAGTCATCAAGTCATTTAACCTTTAATAACTAAGAACTTTGATGAATTTTCCCTTTGTGTACTTAAAACTCTTTACACTGGTTGTAGCTATATTGGATATATAAAAGTTTTTTATCTGATAATGAGGTCGAAATTTACAAAAACATTTTTAAAAGTTGAGCTCCATCAAAAATGTATTTAGTGATTTTTTGCAATTTTTATATATCTCATCACATGAATTGAATTTGTTTGAGATACTTCAGATAGCTTTAAAATATGTTAAAATTCATAATTTTAGATCGTTTTAATATTTTAATTTCCGAACAGTATGTACCAAAATCGTAGCATCATTTGGTCATCATTTGGTGTTTTATAATTCAGATGTTGCATTTTCGATTACATTTCCTCTAATGGAAAATGGAAAAGTTTGGATCTCGCGGAACGATCCCTAAAAGAACAAGGAGCTTCCTCGAGGAAGTAGGTGTTGATGTTGGGATGCTTGCGATATTGGCCGAGAATATTATTCTGGAATCCCTGGGGATCATCCACTATCATTTATGTAGTAATTGAGGATATCATTTATTAATTATTTATTCAATTTTAAATTTGTCTATTATCGTCTCATATTTGTATCTACTTTAGTGGAATTACTTTGCTGTATATGTGAGCGATGTAGTGTTGAGTTCCTGGCATCTGCTTTATTTTTATTTTTTTTTTTAAGAAAATGTATATGTTATGCAATGTTTATAACTTGATATGGTTTATTGATAGTTTATAGGACTAGCGTTATGAAAAGGGAGAAAAAAAAAAGGAAAGATATGAGTATATATATATAATTAAATGGTTTAAAGATAGAATTTGAAAACAACAGGTGTTGGGATTAGATTTTTTTTTTTTAATAGAGGTTATATAGTTCGAGAGTTGTGAGATAAACTAAAAACGATCTTGGATGGTTTTGTTAGAAATTTTATTAATTATTTTTAATTTAATTTGTACCTATTATAAATAAATTGACTAATTATCGTTATGTTATAAATTATTTAATATCACCTGCAAAGAAGAAATAGTAAAGAAGAACTCACTCCCATCCACTAGTTAAGCCCTTCTTAATTATAATCATACAATTATAATTTTATCATAAAATTTACGTTTAAAGAAACGCTACAATATATATAAATGGAAAAATGTAATATAATAGTTATATCCATATGGATTGATAAGTATGCTGTGTATAAAGCAGCCCTATGTAATAGGGCAGCATTACTTTTAATAAAGTATTTTTTCTCTCTCTCATTCTCTCTCTCTCTCTATTATTGTTAAGATAAAATACTCGTATATTTTTATTAAAAGTAAATTATTTATTTTTTTATACTTCACTTACTGCCACCCTCAATCAATTTCTCTATCTATATGGACTATACCGCTATCTATATAGACTATTAATATCAATATGATTATCTCTATATATAATAATATTTATATATAATATCAATATCTATTTGTCTATCTATATGTATCTTCAATAGCCATTTCTCTGCCGTCACTTTTTTTTTTTTTTTTTTTTAATGAACATTAATATTTATTTATTCATTCGATTTTCATCCTAGGTGTTTTTGAAAGTTTTAGCTTAAGAAAAAATTAATAAACCAAAAAAACTTAATTTAATTTATACAGTTACATATATATTTAATTTAAACGCTGTTTTTGAATGTCGCTTTATGAATAAGGATATTGTTTAATAGTGTATTTCTTGATTGATTCCGTAACTAATGCGACATAAATAGTTTATTGCAGAACACGTGAAATATTTGCAAATTTAACGAAACACTAAATTTTTCTCAAGGTAACGTTTAGTGAGTAAATAGATTTTTTCGTACCAGGGTTTTTTCTGTATCAAAATTTATTTTTATTCTGAGATCTCTCTTAATTATATATCAGGTCCAATATTAAATTTACGTTTCTATAATTTTAAATCTCTAAGATCTGAATAAGTTTTTAATATGATTGTATACCCTTTAATATATGATATAACAATATTTCCAGATATTTAAGGGTTGAACTGCGCAAATTTTCTCCTGTTTCCTCTTAAACATAATTGTTTGTCTCAAAATTCACTTTTTTTTAGATGTTACTTAGTTGAACTGGTGAAACGATATATGCGTAATTTATTTAAGAATGCAAGCAAACATAGTGTTTTTATAATGTTTTAGTATTTTATTTATTTATTTGCCTTAAATATTTTATTATCCACCTTTCTCCTGAACCCGCATGGTTATTCAAGCACCCCTCAGGTTTTCCATCTTCATCTGTACACAGAACTTGTCTCCCCTTTGTTACTTTATAAATTATCATGAATAAAACTTCTCTTATATTTATTTCCATATCAAAGGGAAATTAAATAAATTAACCAAATGTAAATAAATAAGCAAGTATATTTTGGTTTTTAAAAAATGAATTGGTTTTTATCATAATGTATATTTCATTTTTTTTTTTCGTAACATCTAATAGAGGTATATAAACTTTAATATCTAACACATCATAAAAACTACGTAAGCATTTTAACAAAATCAAACCAATTTTTAAAAAGTAAATTGACTTATATTTTAAAATAATGAATAATTACTTATATATAAATATTCAATATACCTAATTGAATCGTTTGATTCAATTAAAGTAATTCGAAAAAATGAGCTCACCTGACTAGAAAACAAAAATCATTATATTAATATTTTACAATTTAGGTATTTATTCTCCTAAAATATATAAATTTATGGTAAAAGGTACATATTGTTAATTTTTTTTTACATATATAAATTTCTTAATATTATTTAAATTCATAATTATTTACAATTATAACAAAAACTAGCTTAAAATAAATTTTATAAAACATATTTATAATAAATAACTTTGTATTTAATATTCGTTATTCAGTTCTCTGTGTGTCTTGACTCGATGTGGGTGGAATGATGACACTGGGTGGTACACTTTCTAAGCCAGATACACTAAAAAAAATAATAATAATAAATTGTTAAACATTTTTTCATCTAAAATATCAATGTAATTGTAGATTTAAATGCCTAAAAAACATTTAGAAAAAAAAATTAAGTTCGAAGATTTGTTGAATGGTGATCTTTTATCTACTATTTTCAACCTTTAAGATTAAACAATGAATAGTTTATAATAAGACTTTTTAAAAACAGGATAATTTTCAAATTTAAAGATAATGACGTCTAAAAATTATAACGTTACTACTCTACAAGAAAATTGTTCTTTCCACTAAAATTAGTTGTTACATTTTATTTTGCAATGATTTAAAAATATATATATATTTATGGGTACAGTTTTTATAGTTTAGAGCTATAGGAATTTTCAAGATAACCAAATCAGATTCAAAAATAAATACCCACAATACAAGAGATTCCTAAAAACAATTAGTTAATATAATTTAAAGAGATATCTATCTCGTAACTATTTTTAATATCAAGGTTAGAGAGAATTTTGAAATTGTTGGAGCATCCTATTTTTCTCCAAAATAGATTTTCCATCTAATTTCTAAGGAAATAATTTACCAAAAAACTTATGAATAATAGAAAAGAAACATACCATTATATTTTATTCATTTAAAAATACAATTTGTGAAATTCAATATATATATAATATTTTAATTTTAAGCCATCATAGATATTATTCCTTTTTGGATTTTGAAATAATTTTCTAAATATACAAATCTAGATTTTAATTTTTAAAAATTAGAAAATATATTTTTTCAATAAAATCAATTTTTTATTTTAAAAGGATTTTTTTTTAAAGCTTATTTATTGAAAAATATTACAATCTGTCTCAAGGACATTTATAATAGTGTTCACAGATCACATTCACACTCTATGTACAGTAAATAAAATAAATCATGCAGAAAAATAATATATATACAATAAATAAGAATAAAATAACCTAAAAATAAATGAATAAAAAGAACACATATATACCTATACACAATCAAATAGAATTATAACTTAATAAAATTAAAACCATATTGATTGATAACATATATTTTTTTAATTACCTGACTCCTACAGGCTTTGTTAAAAAGGAACTAGGAAGAAATATGGATGATGGAGCCATCGTATATCCACTGTCTAGTAGGTCGTTGTCACATTTATCCCAACTGCCTGATTTTTCACCTAAGAAAAAATATTATCATACTAATAATTATACTTATATGACAATTTTTATTTATATCATTAGTATCATAAGAAAATAATAAAACATGACCATCTCTAGGAGTACAAAATTTTCTAATAAAATAAAATATCCATGTGTAATTTTACGTCTTGGTTTTCAAAATCTGTTTTAACGATATAATGTTGCATTCGTCTTGAATTTTTATACAAGGAATTAAGTATATTCGTTCACTTACACGGTTAAATTTTTGGGTATTTAACAAACATTAAATTTTAAGCTTTTAAAATTCAAACTTAAATAGTTAGCAAATATTAATAACGACCATTAAAATAAATTTTACAGAATAAAATATACAATTTCTATGAAATTTATGATTTATCGAATCAATTGTGCATTTTTTATTTATTCTTTCATTCTGAATTATCAAAAAAATGTATTTATTCAGTAGGAACACATACGTGATAGATCAAACCAAAAATAAAAATAAATATGAATGTATCAATCAATCAATTAAAAATAGCTATACGTTACATACTACTATCACAGACATGTTTAATGGGTAAACTATTATAAATTTCAGTTTTAATAACAAATTATTTCTGACTGAAAAGAGAACAAATGTAGATACGTTGTTCTGATGAAATTATCTTAAAAAAATAAATCACTTACATTTTGTTAGAAATAAGTTGTGGCTATTTGAAAAAAAAGGTTCACAAAGATAATAACAGAAGAAACTTCACAAAAAAAAGTAGTGATGCCTTGCCAGAAATTGAAAATTTGTTTATTTTAACTAAACTATCGCAATAAAAACTAATAAATGTGCGTTAAATGTTTATATTAATTGCCATTTTTTAAGAATAATATTTAAACTATTATTTGTAGGTAAAAGTGAATATGAAATTAATTTATCTGCGATTACCATACTGTTCATTAAATTTAATATATAAATACCATATAATTCTTTTCTGCAGGATATTTTGAAAACTAAGTAATGAAGTTATAGATCTAACGGCTCTATATAGTATGGAGTAGGTATATCCGTAAACAGTGATCAAAATTGTATAGCCACGAAGTAATTAATTTAATTACTAATTAAAGAAAAATTAATTTAATTAGTTTTGAATAATTAAGTCATTAATTCATTTATAATCGTTCGCAATTATATTTTCTTAATATTTGGGTTTACTGACATTTTTAAATTTCGTAATTATTATATTTTGTACAATTACTCTCAAAACTATGGTGATATTTATTTTGTTTTATTAAACCTTAGTTATTGTAATAACCCTCAATATTATAAAATATAAACTTCTGAACAATAGAAAAAACATCCAAAACACGCAATAGGTAACATTCGAAAAGGTCGTTTTTTGTTTAGCTCACTCATAAAATATACGATTTCTTTTTATACTATTCTAATTCTGTTTTGTGTAAAAAGAATAAATATTTTATACAAGTGAAGTAAATATCAGTTCAGGTTTATTGTTTTCTTGACATTGTCCTTTGCCGCCTAATTTAGAAGGAAAAAAATAATGAGAATGATCAACATTAAATTCTAAATTAAAAATTTCTTTTCTGACAATCGAAAGGTAATTATTTATTTATGTAATGTTTTTTATTATTTTAACGATAATATAATGATTTCTTTATTTATTCATATAATCTCTTTTCGTTAGTAAATATTATTTATACGAGTTTTAGAATGATTTTTAATTTAAAGAACTATAATAGTTTATAAATTTGGAATGGTATAAACAATTTTAGATTTCATCTCATTCATCTAGCCTGACTTTCTCCTACTTTCTGTCTACAAAAGTACTTTAGCTTAACACATTTAATTGAGGAGAAATTACCAAAATAAATTTCTATTCTTTATAATATTGACTTGGCCAAATAAAGAACTTTTAAAATAGAAGGAAAAGTTGTAAATATAGGAGAAGGAAAAATTAACCATCTCAAAACTCAACATTTCAAGAGTGAATATGGTTAACAAAATTAATGGAAAAATATTTATGGTAATCCTTCAATAGCTAAAAGGAAATTTATATTTACATGTATTCTTTACTTTATGTATATTTATAATGACATATATATTTATATTTATGTCAGATTTTCTAGTAGTTCAGTAGGTTTCGAAGTTATGTATTTTTATCTAATTGGATTGTTTTTACAAATCTTAATTTTTAAAAATGCTGCAATATGTACTTTTTAAATTCTTTTTCGTCCTTTCAAAACCAGATAATTAAGTGATGTAAAAATATTTACAATAAATACCCAAAATAATTTATAACGAACAATCTCATTACGAAAATTCAAATTTATTGTAGAAAAAAAATCTTTTTCAATTTTCATAAAATGTGAGATAATTTTGCGTCTTAAGAGATCATTATTGGTCTTATATTTTATTATTATTTATTAATCAAATTAATAAAACTTATGGTTTTTATCTTTAACCTTGATATGAGGAGAGTTCATGTTGGTTTATAATTTTAAATAAATGACTTTAAAAATTAAGACAACTTTTTTTTGTAATATAAATTCGAGAATCCAATAGTATTTTTAGAAAAAAATATTTTTTTTTCTAGCTGTTCCCTTTGACAAATTTAAAAAAAAAATTTTTTACCTGTCACAGATGATTTAATTTTGTTTTTGTATTTTATTTTAGTTTCATTTTCGCTTTTAGTCCGTTTGGTACCAAAGCCTAATACTAATTATTAATGTACCATTTTGTATATAATACTTTTGATATATCTATGCAGATGTACGTTTAGTATTTATGTAGATATACGATTTAGATATATGGATGTTTTAAATTTTTGGACCAAAAAGAACTCTCGTTTATGGCGAGTATTCTTCTGTACTTATTATTTAATCGTTAATCTCATATAGACACTTGGGAAGGTATTATTTTATTTCCGTACATTTCACTTATTTTACAGAAGGACTAGAAATCCCGAAAGTATAATTGTCCTTTCACTGTTTGTAAAAAAGTATTACTTTTTTTTTATGGTTACACTCTATTTTTTTTTTGGAAAATCCAGTTTTAAAGCCGTCATGTAAATGTTTCCTAACGAAATGGAGAACTTGTCTCAGTTGATGCTGGATCCTTGAGAAGAAAAAAAAAGTGTAAGAGGTTTTAAGCAAGAGGTTTGTATATTTGAAGAGACGCAGGGAGGACGGGAAGTAGGTCGAAAGAAAAAAAAGGACTAACCTCGAAAGAAACAAAACGATGAGGAAAAACAAGTGGTACTTTATGTCGTATGCCATGAGAAACCTCTATGTGCTAAAAGTCAATACCATTTTCTACTAAAAAATACATAATGATAATGATAATTTAATTTTTAAACCAATTATTTATCTTATTTATACCATGTAGTCATTGTAAAACTTTAAAAAAAAAAAAAGAAGAAAATTGTTAAATCGAAAAAAATCAAAATATTTATAAATGCCTAAGTATAATAATAAAACTATTTAGTGTTATACTTCAATAAAATTTATTTTATTTAAAATTTAAAAACGTAATAAAAACACATCTAATAAATTCATTAAGATTTAAAATTGATAAAACCTCCCATTTTCATATGTCATATGCCTTCCATATTTCACAGCCATTATATTTTTAACAATTTTAATTCTTATATGGTAGTAATGGATTAAATTTAACTTTATACAGATATGCAGTCAGTAACAACAAATTCTATAAAACGTAAAACTCTAATGGAAAAGCATCATAATAAAATATTGATCACAATATCCAAATATTATATTTTTATCAAGAAATATTGATATTTTAAACTTATGTACGGACACGTAGTTTCCATATCTTCGGTATTGGAAAATAAGTAAATGTGAGAGTATATGAATCATTAATGTTTATAGATAATGATAATGGTAATTGAGCTATAGTTAAAATGTTTATAATAGATAAATTAATATGCTTGTGATTGTAGTAACCAAACTGTATTTTTGCAGCATGCTTTAAAAATAAAACATTTATCTGAGTCAATATCATAACTAACTACTATAGAAGATATTTATTTAAAAAAAAAATCTAAAATTAAATAATTTCCTCTAATTAAAAATATCTTAACTACTCTTAATAATATACACAAGGATTGCATTAGAATTACTGTATTTCTCATATTTTGAGGAAAATTGTTACATCCTTTTAAAATAATTTTAAGTCCACTTAGTTTCCTGAGAGAAATTTCTTTCTGTATCCCGGAAGTTTTATACACATATATATATATATATATATATATATATATATATATATAGAGAGAGAGAGAGAGAGAGAGAGACAGAGAAGGAGGAAGAGTGAGAGAGAGAAAGAGATATTATTTTAGCTATCTTAACTTAGGGAGTTTTCAAATATTTTATTATGCCTGTTCGTAGATGGTTGTAAAAAGATAAAACAAAAAAGGAAAATTTAGCATGGAATAAATTTTGAAAAAGACGTTTTTTTTAAAAATTAATATAATTTATTTTATTTTTTTAATACATAACAAAAAAAATAAATATTCTTTGTAAATAACATATTTTCAAGTTTAAAATAAATAATAAAAATGTTCTTGCTCTCTTTTCATTATACAGATTCCGTTAACATCCACATACTATACCGCCCTACTCCTAGTAGGATGCTGTAAAATATGTGTATCATTGTCTAAATTTCGCAGAATATATGTATATAATCTATTACAACATTAGACTAGATTTTTATATTTTACAATAATTTGCTTATTATAGTTCGTTTTAATAAGCATTAACAGAATTTGTTTATGAGTGACATTCGCTATAAACAATGTTAAACAGCTTAGACAAATAAATACATCATTTTTTCTGGTTTAAAAAAAAAAAACCATATATATGGTCAACCAATAAAATCGCATAAATTATTTAAACTAAGATTTTCTGTTCATATTATACCTGTTGTCTTTATATCGTTTTTAGGACTTGGAAGGTTTACTTGGGGGTTCTTTGGTTTCCGTTTCCTGGTTTGGATACCTTCCTTCTTCATGGTATGTGGCCTATTTACCTAAAAAATATAAGTATATAAATTTAAAGAAATACTATTATCGTATATTTTAATATTCAACAATATATTTGTGAAAACCATTTTATTTTGACTAAGTTTTGATGAAACTTGTTCTTACTTATGGGATACTTAAAATAAATTTGAAAATAAAATAAAATCGTAATAAATAATTATTATTTAATTTTAATAATTTTTTAAATCGAAATTAATATTTTAAATTTATTAAAATGGCTTTGTCTACTTACACCGTGTAGTTTAAAATACAGGCCGCAAGCATTGCACACTGGTTCTCCTGTATTGTTCCTGCGCCAGAGGGTTGTATTATTTGTCTGGCAGTTGGCACAGCTTACGCCATTTCTTCTGTTGCCAATCTGTAAATTTTTAAATAATTTCTATTATTGTTTATACATGAAAAAAATATTTAGCTATAAATATATAATTGTAATAACTATCAAACGTTTACATTTTTGCAACAATTAACTTGTGTGAATCACGGTAATTTTTTTCAGAAGGGATACATAAATATATCTATTTTTTATTAATAGTTAATATATTTTTTTTATTGCTATGTATTTGTACTTTTTGTGTAATTTTTTTTTCACTTTCTCCAGTAAAAACTAATTATTATTTTTAAATAATAATAATGAGCTGTGCAATGGTGGAGGATCAAAGAACATTTCGAACAATTTTCCCTCAACCCCGCCATAGGCCAAGCATTAAACTCTCCATTTCTCTCTTGGATGTTCACTGATTCATAAGTTCGTTATTACCTTTCCATGGATTCATTATTTGCCCAACCTATATACTCAGCAACGCCCATTTTACTCGACACAAAACCGTTCTTATTTACTGAGTGATTCCGTAAAATTTCTTTTCTCCCTTAACCATTCTGGCCTCATTTCATATCCGTTGAGAATCGACGTAATTCAAGTTGGTAGTAAAGAGACTTATTTTGATGAGTGGAAAAATCTTTATCCTACTTTCCTAATGCTGTCTTTCTTTTCCAACTAACAGAACGTCACTCTTTCAACACATGGCTTTATGTATTTCCTGTTATTGCACTTTTCTTCATCAATCTTCGTGTTACTTACTTTTTGAACTTCTTTACTCGTTTCTCTTCCATGTTCGTCAATCCTCCTCCATTCCTTCAAACAACACTTATTCCTCCACCTATCGAACTACCGCATCAATGTAAGCAAATATCCTTTAATTACTCAGTTTATTATATACTTCACCTCTCTTGTTAAAACTAGAATGTCAGGAGTACCCTGATGACCTCGAATGTGCCATTTTGATTTCTACCGGTTTTGAATATCTTAAGAGGGGTCTTACGGGCATCCGTTTACAGCAAGATGTCACACTTTGCCCTTTAACTTCTTCAAGAAACATACATCACTGAAGGACTTCGCTGTTTCTCTCAAGCAATTGTTTCTGTAATAACAATTCCAGTGACAAACAGTTGACAATTATCCAATTTCAAAAATATTTAGCTTGATTAACGTATGTGATGTCTGAACATTATAATTGTTCTTTGGAGACCTTTGTCTAATAATTATATCATCAAAGCTCCAACTACATTTTTGACCGGTATGGGTTACTACAAATTTTTATATGATTCATTAAAAAAATATATATATAAAATTTCGGACAAAGTATCTCTCTATAGTTAGTGTCATTCGATCGGGAAAAAAAAAATTAATTTAATTTCTGCTACCACACATTAGATGGTTATTTTTAATTTACGGACTATTGCTACATCTACTTCGTTTTTTACTATCCATTCATTTCATCAACTACATTTATTATCGGATAAGTCTGGTATATTGTAATAAAAGAATTTACTATTGAGGCTCTTGAAAAAGAGCCAGATATAAAAAAAAGCTACAACCCATGGAGTGTCTTGGGTTCTGTACTTTGTAAAGAAGTATTGTGTCAAGACCAACGATTGAGCAAGGAGGTGATTGGGCTGAGTTCTCACTCAACAGTCAGGTTTTTCTTCTTAATTAATTATTTGATTAAGATAATCCATTCTATAGAGGCTAGGTGTGCCCAAGCAGGGTCTTCCGACCTCAGGGTCGATGTGATGTAACAAAATAAATAATTATCTGAGATCAGCCATTATCGAACCCTGGACCTTAAGCTTTATGAACTCCTTTCTTTGTAGTGTTGGCCAAAATCGGTCTTGGTTTTGCGTTTAGCAAGACTGTTTAACTGTTGCAAGACCAAGAGCAATACCGGTAAAAATATTTATTTTTGAATAAAAATTAAGGAAAAGTAGTTACTAATAATTGACAATTCAGTTACTATATCTAAAGAATTTGTATAACCAATATACTTTTGCATATAACTCTTCTAATTTTTTAATTCGGGCTTAGTTAATTTTCTCCTATCTGAAATACTACAGTAACATCTATATAGGAATAAGTTAATGGGTAAGTGCATGACTGAAGCGAGACTCTTGTGAAGTCTGCAAAACTCGTCTTGGTCTAGCATTTGGCAACACTAGTTCTTTGCCCACTGACCTACCGAGCTCCCTTAGCAACATATTAATGGGTGGAATTTTCTACAAGAATCGTTTTCTTTGTCCACACTCCTCGACACTTCGCTACTACATAACGATAAACATCGCTGAAGGCACACCAGACCACACTACGACAGTACCGCGATCACTTTACATGCACTCACATTGTGTACTTTCTTGTGGTGAGTCCTCACCGGTGGCCTGTGTACTCCGTTGATCCTGCTGTAGAGGCCGCAGGCGTTGCAGAGGTGGTGTCCAGTCCCGTCCCTTCTCCACAGCGGGGTAACGCTCGCCGCGCAGTTTACGCACTCCTTGATGTCGCTCGTAGACAGCATATCTGAAACAATTCAGGAGTAAACTTAATTATCAGCATAAAACTTAATTATAAACAGGTGTTAGTAAAGTTATCTTTACTTACGCTGTAAAAAAAAAAGCATGCGTTTGTCTGACTTTAACTGAAATTTTGCCATCTTCCGTTAATGGAGGGCAATGGAAGTCTAAATGATTCTAAGAAACGAGATATAATAACTGGTTTTCTTTTCTTTAAAAACAATGGTTTATTTTTTCATATACAAGGATAGGGTTGCTCTAAGAAAAATAAAAAGCATCAGAGAGCTTATGTTTATAAATAGTACCGTATACCGGGTTTCAACTTAGGAAATAGAGAATGACTATGTACTAGAATTAATTTTGAATATGAAATTACCTGGTCATTTTAAATATTTTTCTATTCAGGCAAAGTGACCACGGTTTACTAAATTTAGTTTACTTTTGAGCTTTATGGCTGTCCCTTATTTCTGTGAAGCATCGATCCGAATGAATTTAAATGTACGTTTTCAACTTCTGTCTCATTTTTAATTTAAAACGTCTTGAAGTGATGAATATGAATATACTCTATGATATAGACATAGATTCTATGTGATTGGTCTGTCAAATGTTAGCCAAAGATATTGCACATTTTATGTTTGAAAGATTTGGAAATCGAGGTACACTGAAGGCGAGAAATGTGCTATAATTTGATTTGATTGAGTCGATTTTTTTATAGTTTGTTTTTAGTCATAAGGAATTGTTAGGAGATGTAACCTACTGTGGTTGGTTTAACCGTATTCAAATAGTAGTTTCCATATTATTAACAAAATTCCAAATTATGAACAATAAATAATAATTGAATACTTAATAGTTTACCGTTGTATTATAAAAGAAGGAGATCGTCCGGGATGGCGATCATAAATATGCTAAATAGTGGTAAAACTATTTTATTAAAAGCCAACGTTTCGACCCGATTTTGTTGGCACCGACTGAATCCTGTTCTAAGTGGAACTCCTAGCTGAACACACCTCCCTGAAGAAGACCTACAAAGTCGGGTCGAAACGTTGGCTTTTAATAAAATAATTTTGCCACTATTTAGCCTATTTATGACCGCCACCCCGGACCATCTCCTTCCTTAATAAATAATAATATTTATTTGGAAAGAAATAGATGTCATTATAGCCGAATGATTAGAACTTGATATTGATATAATGCTTTGGAACCGGGATACCCTACCTCACATTATGGCTGATCCACATTGACCCAATTTCAAATTAAGGAAGTGCGCAACATGATTTTTTTTTTTTAATGAGGCTACATTTATTATTATTTCTATTATATATTATATCAACGGATACTCACTGGGATCGTAAGACTCGTCGATGGCCCAGGTAGCCTGCCCATTGCTGGAGAAGACGTAGGGTGTTCCTGGAGGCAGCTGGATCTCCTGCTGCGGCTGCTGGTAGACGTACTCACTGGACCAGTAGCCAGGCTGGTTGGCCGTCACGTACTCTCCTCGGCTGCCTCCTCCCGTCACGTAAGTAACCTAGTAAAAGATAAAGGATGTTAGCAATTACTAATGTGCTCTTGCTATAGGACACAGGATGTTTACTCGTTCGCGAGGGTTTTCGGTGTTTCACAAAACACACCCATTCGTCTAAGTTTGTTTGCTCCGGCATGGGAATACCCATTCTGTAACGTTGACTTACTTTTGAATCATCTCAAAGTTTAAACTTGGCAGTTGCTTATTTATAAAGTGAAGCCTTTTCGATTTTTTGAAAAATCTAGATAAGTATTGATTTCTAAATAAAAACACCCGATGAATCCGAAGGTGCATTTTTGTTCTAAAAACGAATCTAAATATTTAAAAAAGTGGTATGAAAATAATTCCCATAACTCTTTCCCCATCCTTTCTTATTTTTTTTTAAGGAATGCAATCAAACCTGCATTTCTTAAAAAAAATCTGCCAAGTAAGGTCAGTATAGCTTCCTCGCCGTTTTCATTGGCTAAAAATATCTATATTACAAGATCTAATATTTTTCGTATGAGAATAAAATCTTTGGGAGAAGCCCTTTTCGCAAATTCAGTAATCTCTCAACATATACAGGTTTGATATTCAAGAGTTTTGTACATTTAATACTAAAATATGAAAGAGCTCTGCATTTAAAGATTACATATTTGATGAATCGTGATTAAAAAAAATATTCATTGCATACTGAGACCATATGTAAAAATTGAATGTTGACAGGAGAACAAAAGAACTAATTGTTTCTTTATGATTTATTAGTATAATTTCATATTTTATTGCTCTCTGCTATTTTCCATCGTAGCAGACTACTTATATCAGATGCATACTACAAAATGTCACCTTTAGCATAAATAGAATGGAAGTTGAAAATATTTACATACGAACTTTCGCACTAACAGTAGTTATATATACTTAATAGGAAAATTCGCCTTTTTGTTTGTTTCTTTGATCAATTTTCAGGAAAATGAATCTAATTCAATTTTTTTTTTTGTTTCTTTATGGACATATGTAAAGATATAAAAAAAATTCTGAAATAGGTAGGAAAGTCGTATGAGTGGAAACACCAGATTTTTTTCTCCGAACCAAACCCCAATCAACCTTTCTTTTTTCAATATCGGGCATTTAAGGCTTAATTCTTTCTAAAAGGGGCCCTAACATGAATGATTTGAAGTATCCATGATTAACGAAATTTAATTGAACTTCGAAATAGCTCCATAGAAAAGTGAACTATTGATCTTAGTTCTTTTTCACTTTTTCTACCTGAGACATTTATCACTTTATAGCAGTTAATGTGATCCAACTGTCGTATCTTTATGATGTATAGCTTATTGCGATAATCAATCAATAATAAGACAAAGTAGGTACTCGAGAGTATCAAATTTTGTATTATATATCGAGTTCGATGGTATTTGCGAGATATTCCTGTCATTTTTAATGTACACACATCAATTAGTTATTAACTTGTTTTTTTTTTCTAATATATTGTGAACTTGAAAAATAAATAATAATTGACAATTTTGTTTACAAGAATAACTTTTACTATTTTTTTTTAGAATGTTTTTATTAAAAAATAATGAAGTAATAATTGCCACACTTAAGGACACTGGGTATTAGAACAATATGAAGAGCATTCAAACCAAATGTTCAATACGAGTAAAAACACAGAAAAAAGAACTAACAAAAACAAAAAGAAATAAAAGTAAAATTATATAACGTATACAAAAAAAAATAATAAAAATAAAAAACATTTTTACTTAATACTTATTTCTGGAATTTATTTATAGTATGATAGGAGAAGATATCAACTACTTCCAATAATTAGAAAACTCAAAAAGTTAGTGAATTTGAAATTTCAGAACCTCCCTATAACTATAAAATTAGTTGTATAAAATGTTACTAAAATTCAACACCAATATCAATATCTGTTTATAGGAGAAATAGAACCATAGCCGTATAGCCGTATTCAAATAGTAGTTTCCATATTATTAACAAAATTCCAAATCATGAACAATAAATAATAATTAAATACTTAATAGTTGACCGTTGCATTATAAAGGAAGGAGATCGTCCGGGATGGCAATCATAAATATGCTAAATAGTGGTAAAACTATTTTTACCACGATAAGTAAAAAGAATTATCGATTAAAATGTGTTAAAAGAAAATTATTGCTAACTAGTATCAACATTCGCTACAGATAAGCCAGGAGTTTAAATCGGAAAGATTTATAAAATATACTTTCATTTGCCTCGTTTTTAAGAAGTGGTGAGCAATTGCAATTAATTCTCGTAGGAGAAATGGGCTGTCGTCCTTTAGGAAATGGGTACCTCTGAAACATATAAATTGTTATGCTAGGGTGATAAACACAGAACGTTTTAAACTGTAATCATTGCTTTCAGCAATCTGAAATAGCTGATTGCATAAACGTGATAATCTATCTAAAAGAAATCATAGAGCCTATAAAAATTGCAACAAATTGCTTCTAAATGTAGCCAAATCCATAACTTCCAGCTATTAGAGTTTGTTTCTTCAACTCCGGAGCCCGAGAAAAAAAAAAAATTTAAAATATATAAAATATTTTTTACTTTTTCACATCATTCATTTTTAGCCGAAAAATTTCTAGAAATGTGCCAATGTTATGAAGGCTCCTATTTTTAACCTAAACAAATACGTTATATATTCCATTGTATTTTTTTTTTTTTAGATATTTTTAAGTATATATAACAAGTAAAACAATAAAAAATAAAAATTCTCACAAATGTACAAACAAATAAATTTTAAATATTCAACACTACATTTGTTAGTTTTTTTGTTTTTTTTAGTCCGTTGCCCTCACTCCCTCAATCAAAATCGAAAGTCTGCGCCACGAAATGGTGCGTGGTTAGATCACTTTTTATCAAATTATTAACATCCCCATGAACCTTAGTGAATCGATTCATCTTCTGCCGGGATCTCATTCCCTCCGGGGGGAACACATTTTTCGATTAATACTGGAGGATTAATATATTGTAACAATATATTCTATTGTTGATACAGTAGTCAGAAATCTGCTACCTCAACGATCTCTATTATACTCCTTTGTCCGATAAGCTTTGAATCTCTCTCTTCCATGACTCTCTCCTTCTTGGCCCTCTCCGCGCCCCGGATGACCGCTGACTCCGTTCCCTGTGGGCGGTGTACAAATATTGGCGGCGGATGTGAAGGCGAGACCGGAACTCGGCCTGTCAATAAACAGACCTGGAGGTCCTGGAATTCGACGCTGAACCGAGAGTGTACCTGCCCCGTCTAGGTCCACGCCCTCCTCCCAGATAGGCATCGCTGCTCTACTTAGTCTTAGTGTCAGCGTCAGGAGGAAAAAAGTTCAACAATGGCTCGGATCTTTTCCGGAAACCAGAACACATAACAAAAAAATGTTTCGATCATGAACTGGCTCCTGGCCAGAAATCGATAAAAAAAGAAGGACCATCATTGATTCTTTGTTTACATTTTTCTGCAGCCTCTCATTATTGGCCTAGGAACCAACAGGTTCTTTCCAAACAATATCTTAGACTGATTGAATGTATTTTTGACAAGATAAGAAGCATCAGACCTCTAAACACTATTTGTGTGAAATAGTGAATTTTTCTTCTGGCAATTTGAAATAATATTATATATTAGGTAAAGACAGAATAGAACAGGGGGAGGGGGGAGGTAACCTTTGTTGCGTAGCTCTTATACCTCTGTAACGGCCTCCTAAAGTTTTTGGGCGGTCTTCATAAATCTTGGCCAGAATTAATTAATATTTAATTATTTAGGCTACGAAAATTTGAAAATCGATAGTGATTGTGATCGAATATATGTATATGGGTGATCATAGCCACAGACTTTGTATTCTGATTCAGGGGTCGATTGCCTCTTCCCCTCCTCCCCCAAAACAAAAGCCTCAAAAGTTTATATTACGAATAAGAACTACGAGTACTAATTAACATAATCAACATAATTTTTTTTCAACGAACAAAATTATACTATATAAAAATAAATTTCGGTATATGTTTATAAAAAATAAATGTATGTCTATAATTTTTTTTTTAATGGGCATATTTGAAAATAAGTTAAGGAAGAAATTAAATATATTGCATACTTTTATCACGCCTCTCTAATAATTTAAGTGCCAATTTTAACTAGTTAGCTATTAAAGATTTATAATATGTTATTTTTTTTTTAAATCTTTATTATTTCAATTAACAATCTTTTTATTATTTTTTTATTTACTGTGTTGATAAACGTCTGAAAGGTAGACCGAAGCCAAGATGGGAGGATTGCCTAAAAGATGATTTGGCGAGGTTGGGTTTGAACGGCGACCGGTGGAGGCAGATATGAGAGCAATTGGTTGTGTCGGCATCGAACCTTTTGTTTCGCTAATCCTTTTATTATTATTATTTATGTTTTTAGGGGAGGTGGGGAAGTGAGTTTTATCGATTTAGTTTACGTTCATTTGGGTTTCGAACTAACTATCGAAATTTTGTTCATTTTCAACCATTCCGAATTGATTAAAATAATCTTTCGACATTCGTGGATTTGATTACTAAAATGCGAAAGAATTTCACTTTCGTAAATTGTATTGTGTGAATATACATATATAAATATATGCTATGTTTTCATCCTTGAAATTTGTAGAACAAACTTCCATGGAAATAATTCAATTTTCTAGTTATTGTTAACTAATCTGACACATCTCTAGATATCGAATTTAATTACCTTATAAGCATTGCACCATACATTTACGACATGTTAAACATTGGTGAGCAGAATAATTTTTTATGTTTCGTATATTATAAAAACGTATATTATAATAGGAAAATAAAAACAAATGGATTTAAACATTTTGGTGTAATAATTAACAATTTATTTAAATGATTGCATTTAAAAATGGAAGAAATATAAGATCACTGGAAAAGTAATTCACTATAAATTTCCGGATCAAAAGTTTTTAGAGGACAAATCGGGTCATAACCAAATTTTAATTTTAACAGTTTTGATATACACTATAATAGTTTTTAGGTTATTTAATCAAATAAAAAATTGAATAATTTTATTAGAATAGATCACATTAGCATAATTTTTTTCTTCCTATCTTATCTTTCATTTGTGGCCTATGGTGGAAACCACAGTGTCATCATAGGGTACAATTTTTTACATTAAAATATATTACAATTTAATTCTTAAAATAATTTGAAACCGATTAAAAGCTTATTGAATGGAACATTTCCAGTACATCTTAGTATTTTACTAACTCATGACGTAAGTTGTCCGTTATCAACGGTAAACGCTCCCCAGACCAAACCAACGCCTTAGCGAATGACGTGAATCTTGTTTCAACAATGACGCCAGGTTTCAGTAAAAATGGGAACTAGAATTTTGTGTTAGTCGGAAGGGTCCAGTTTTTTTGTTTTTTTTTTCTGTTCTGTACAAATAGTTATTTGAGAGATTAGTTCTTCAAATTCATTCGATTGGATCAATATTCACTTCAATCCAGTACTTCTTATCAAAGTCCCCCTCAACGCCCCCCTGCGTATGCCCCCCTCAGCAACGAAGTTCATAGTTTTAATCTTATTAAAAACTGATAGAAAGAAAGAAGAATTATAAAACTATTATTATACATTATACAACTTCACTTGTTGTGCTCTGTTCCCTTGTACATTGGTTTATAAAGTTCTTAAAAAAAAAAACGTACCACTCGACCCATGATGAAGACGTTGGTTGTACAGGGAAGTGATCAGACCGGGATCACACTCAACCAACAGGTTTTCTCTTTTAATTAATTATTTAATCAAGGGTATCGATTTTATAGAGGCTGGTTGTACCCAAGAAGGGTTTCCCCACCACAGAGTCGAGCAACGGCTGATGAAACATTACTTGTCATCAGCCTGATTGGAACCTGGTCATGAAATTTGGAAATCAGTGCTTACCCACTGAATTACCCCGTTCCCTCCTCAAAATTAAAACCCACAAAATATGCTTCCCTCCAAACTTCATTACTCAATCCAAATGTGTCCACATCAAAAATTATAATGGTGCAAACCCCTTTTGAACATCCCTTCTTCGATCATTACGATATTTATTTTTATGAAAACTGGTGATTAGCCTGTTCATTTACTTTTCTTAAAATTTTGAAAAATAATTTTTACAAAAAGTTGAAAATTATTTATAATTCATTAAACAAGACCAGGAGTTAGAAACGATTCACAACTTGCGTAAAGATGAGTGATTGCGACAAAGGCGATATGTAACTTATCGTGCGACACCCTTTGTTCAGCACTCTAAGTTTGAATCCCACCGATACCTGTCGGACTTTCTGGTATGAATATTTGAGACACTTACAGCACATATTACTTCTACTGAACTTTATTTAGGTATATACTATCTAAGAGTATTAAATACTGTTGAATCGATTCCGGAGTACGATTAGTCGGTTATGCAACTCAATGCATCAGCTCAAAACTATTTAACAGGACAAAATTAATTGTTTTGATTAAACAGATTTTTAAAAATTTTAATAGAATAGTGTTTTGGGTAATATTTGGGTTTGTTAAATGCTTAATTGGTCTTACAAAAACATATGTTTGAGAAAAATTATACATATATATGGTTAGAAAACGGGCTGATAGTGCTGGATCACAGTGTAGTAACTAAATAGAATACATTGTATCTTATTGATGCTGTATGAATTAGAATGAGGAGAAATATATTAAGACCGAAACCTAGAGAGATACTAGGCTGTATGAATTCTGATTATGATCGAAAAGAATACTAGTAATCAATTAATATTATTATGTCCAACTTTTCGTGATTTTGAATTTTTATTATTTTTTAATTCGATAAAGATATCATGTCTTTCTCCTTCCCTTTTACCATCGTCTGATGGCCTTTTGCATTGCCTAAGCCATATTAACGTCCGGCTAACATTGTTCTCTGTAAGTAAAATGATGTGCTTTTTTGATTGAACTGGCTGATCTGTATCATTCGACTTAAGTGCTCGAATCCTATCAAGGCCCAAAAGCTACCATTTTATAAAGACCTAACTTTAATTCTATCGCTTCATCTACTTACTAGCTAGGTATGTGTTATCTGTACGTACCTGTGCACTGAGCTGCGTTGGATGCGAGGTGACCGGATGATCGAAGTGCGCGAAGTTCTTCGGTGTTAGCGGCGGATCCGCCTTGATGTAGACATCCTCTTCCTCCTTGTAGGTGTAGTAGCCGGCCGCGGGCTCCTGGTAGGCGCCGCCGGGCGGATAGTTGACAGGCTCCAGCGTGACGTAGCTGCCTTCGCCCTTGTCGTCCCGCTCGTACTTGACGCTGCCGTCGGTGGTGTAGTAGCGGCCGGAGCCGGGGCTGTAGCGCGTCGCCTCCTCCAGGCTGTACCCCTCGTCGTAGGTCCCCGGCCGCAGCTGCACGATCTCGTACGGCACCTCCACGTCCTTCCCGCTTCTTCGAGCATCACAATAAGATAAATCAAAAAAACTGTTATGTGTCAGGAAAGGACAATACATATTAAAATATTTTATAATGCTAGAGAAATAGTGATCGTGTATATTTCTATATTAAATGCTATATAATTATATCATGATTGATTAAATATAATTAGTTAATAAAATTATATTAATTATTCATAATTGGTAAATGGTTGACTGTCGTGAATAATGGAGAGAAGAATAGTTGGGGTGATCAGTCAAATAAGAAGGCAAAAATAAATGATACTATTTATTTTGACATTAGCCGACGTTTCGACCTGAAGTTCAGGCCATCATCAGGGCTAAGAAAAAAAACCAGATAATAAGGTATGAGAAACATGAGTAGTGTAGGTAATGGCAACAGTAAGAATAATAAGCGGTACAAATTGTGGAATGATGAAGTAAACATAATGGAAAAAAAAAAAGGTGGCATAAGTATTAAAATGGGAATCTTAGAATAAAATGTAAAAACAGAAAAATATGAAGTTATATAAGAAATGGAAATAAACAGTAAAATTAAGATATTGTGAATAGAATAGTTAGATAGAAAATTGAGATCTTCTCAATTTTTAATCATCTCAATCTCAATATCATCAAAACTATTTTAAAAACAATAACTATTTTCTGTCTTATTCGGAAAATGTTTTTATTAATCGAAGTGGTCTGAAATTCGATCAGATATACAGTGGTCTTCATGGTATAATTAAACTGAAAATGGTATATTCGAAAAACGTATCCGATTGCATGTCTCTTGCAGACGATTGAAACATGATCCATTTATACAATAATTGTTCAACATGTCTCATTGTTTCTTGTGTAAAAATACATTGAAATACAAGTAATTCAATATGGCTCTGAGTGGTCTGGCTGAGTGTAATTAGCGATTAAATTTGACTCTAACACTACCGATTAAAAAATAAAAATAAACCTGATTTGAATTTAAATTTATAAATTAGGTACGTTTTGAAACATTCAAAACGTCTTTTTACTTATACTTTTTTTCATCATACATGCAACTGATAAACCGAATTGAAAATTTTAAAAACAAAATAAGCAATATTTTTTAACAAAGCCTTCGTCCAATTAATCGAGGATATTAATTTTTATATTTTTTTCTGTTACCTTCTTTTGTATTTATTTTTTCAATTTTATACTGGAACTGGAGAAAGTATTCATACTTCTAACCATTGAATCTTTTTTTTTTTACTATTTCAATTGTGATATGGAGCAAATTTTTTATTTTCAAACTCATCATTTTTATATTACATAGTGATACACCGTAGAATGTTTTAAGATGATTTAATTTATTTTTACTTATTGATTTGTTTATTATTTCGCGTATATATATATATATTATTTATGTGTGTTATCCTATTTTTATATTTAATTTTTCTTAGTTTACTCATTTATTTTTATTTATTCATTTATTTATTGTTTATTTTTTATTACCCTTTTATATGTATTAGCTTTATTAGCTTTATTAATTTTTGCCCTTCAATGTGGCAGATTGTACTATTTACTGTTAAATGTTTTCTACAGAATAGTAAATAAAAAAATTGTAATCCACCTATTTCATTTTTTATTTACCTATATATTATTTACCTGTTATTAACTCAAATGAATGATAATAATTAACAGTTCTTGCTATATTGTATTATAAAATAATGATGTACACTTTAAATTTTAGATTTTTAAGAAAATTGTCGAATAATGAACACTATTATAAACTAATCAAATTAAAAACATATGTTACAAAAATTAAAGTAATTATGTGTAATTTTTTTAAATAAGCAGTTTTTAATCATTAATGAAGTTTAGATAATATTACTTAAATTCATCTCGTGTTATATCCGAAAAATGGTTTAGAAATTAATTTACATTCATGTTAATTGAAGGTAGATAATCTACAGGAACGTGAAAGTGTATAATAATACCTTATATAGTAAAAGTGATGACTTTGAAAGGGCGATTTGTTCCGAAACATCTCGTATTTTTCTTCTAACAGTATTAGTATTCACTGCGATTAATGTAATATATTCACTTTTATCTACTTTAAAAAAGTGTCGTGAATCCAATTGAGTTCTAGAAGCTACGGGAGTGTAAACGTCTACTAATCCCTACAGCATTAGACAACACTGTTTACTGCGTTCATCAAAACAACTCTCTCCCGGTATTTATTTACATTTTAATTGTTCTATTCTAATTAAATATGGTGCAGTGTAATATTTGCAATAATACTATTGCACGCGAAGATAAAAACAATCTTTGTTGTGTAAAATGCAAAATTATTTTTCACGGTCGGTGTCTCAATCTAAGTGAAAAAGAAATTGAAGCCTTAAAAGCACACAAAAAAACATGGGTATGCCCTAATTGTGACCAGACCAAAAAACCTAACACTGAGCCGTCCGCCTCAGAAATACTGGCGGCAGTAAATCGCTTAGACTCGAGTGTCAATGAAGACATAAAAAACATAAAAACAACCCTCGATAAATATGGAGAGCTCAATTTTGAGCTTAATGAAAAATTATCGAAAATTGAGAAACACCTCGAAAGTCAAGCCAGTAATTTCGAAAAAATTATCCTGGAAAATAAAGCCCTCAAATCTCGAGTGGGCGAATTGGAGGTTCGCCTGAATAACGCAGAGCAGGGCTTGTTATCCAGATCACTGGAGATCCGAGGGATACCGGAGCGAACTGGTGAAACGCCCGCAGCTTTGGTGACCAGCATTGGAGCAAGTTTGGGCATCAGGCTCAGTACAGATGACTTGGACATAGTACATCGCCGCAGAAGTAGAAAAGATGACCCACGACCGCCGCCTGTCATCGCGCGCTTTGTCAAACAGTCAGTCAGGGACGACTTAATAACGAAGAGGAAAGTCAAGAGGGACCTCACTACTCGGGATATCGGCTGGCAGGAGAATGACAGTCACCGGATATATCTGAGTGAGGAAATGACTCCCACGAACAGACACTTATATTGGCTTGCCCGACAGAAGAGAGCTGCGGGGAAAATCAAATATATGTGGTTTGCCGCCGGAAAGGTGCGATGTCGAAAGGAGGACGGGCATAAAGTTATTCTGATTGAACAGGCCTCGGACCTCGATATATTTGCCTGACCACGAAGAATTCGTCTATTCCTCATCCTCATTAAAATAACTTTGAACTCAATTATCTACAAAGGAACATTTTCACTTCTACGCATAGAGATATCTCTTCACACTTACACACTAATTTATATTTTGTTGACCATATGTTTTTTATTTCTTTTGGTTCCTGCTTACACTTTCTTTTCTGCTATTTTCATTAATTGTAAACGCCTTTTTGTATTTTCTATTTGTTTTAGAGTTTCTCTACCAAACTCTGACTGTTTCCCTCCCAATTCCTCTCATGTCTAGTACCCTAATCACCTGTCATGTTAACTCTCAATCCCTCCCTGCCCACTATGACGAGTTCCTGCAATATTTCACTCAAAACATTTATCATATTATCGCTATCTCGGAAACTTGGCTTAAACCTTACATCCCTTCCTCTTCTGTTTCCTTGCCTAATCACACCCTCCTCCTTCATGACCGGGTAAGCCGGAATGGCGGAGGAGTAGCCATGTTTGTCCATAATAGCCTGAAGACTCGAATCCTCGATTCCTCACCACCCTCCGATCATCCTCAGGTTGAATACCTTCTAGTAGAAATCCATTGTAAGGATCTTCCTCTCCTTTACACTGTGGTATATCGTCCTCCCCATGTTACATATGATCAGTCCTTCGAATCAACCCTATTCAACTTCGTTCCTCTATATCCCAGAATAATCATCTCCGGTGACCTCAATACCAATTTCCTCTCCAATGACAAATCCTATCTAGAAAACCTAATTTTCTCTCTGCACCTCTTCATAGTTCCATTTTCCCCCACCCACCACACCAGCAGGTCAGACACTTGGCTAGACTTCTACATTATAGACTCTGTACAAAATCTCCTCTGCTCTTCTCAATTGCCAGTTTCATTCTTATCATCTCACGATCTTATACAAATAACATATAATATCCAAACTCCTTCAATCCAGCCTCGAACTATCACCTTCCGTCACCTAGATTCCCTTACTCGAGAAAAAATATTACCTGACCTAGAAACCCTAGACTGGAATGGAATATATTCTAGCTCTTCCATCGACTCCATGGTTGACATTCTTACCACCAATCTTCTCAATATTCTCAATACCCATGCTCCCCTCAAAACCTCTACCTTTCGTCACCGGCCTGCTCCTTGGATGTGTCAGGAAATCAAAGATCTGCAGAAGAGGCGCGACGCTGCCCGAAGACGTTTTAGACGTACGAGGCTTGCAGATGACTACCAAGCGTTCAGGGTGCTTCGCAGCTTGGCACAGACAAGGATCCGGCGTGCGAAAGCTTCATACTTCCATGAAACCCTTTCCTCAGCTCCTGATATCAAATCGAAATGGCTACTGCTTCGTAAACTTTCCATTGGTAATCCTTCCAGATCCCCTACCGCAGCCTATCCTGTATCCTCCGATGATTTAAACTCTTATTTTATATCTGTCGCTAATACCTCTTCTCTACCTTCCTCTTCTGGCTTTGCTCCAGAGATATCCTTTAACGACAATAAATTTTATTTTTCCGACATTTCTCTAACAGACCTGTTAACCGCGGTAATGAAATCCCACACCAATTCTATAGGGCCAGACGGCATTCCTGTCAAATTAATAAAAATATGTCTACCTGAAATCTTCCCAGCTCTCCTTTTTATCTACAATTTCTCCCTTCAGAATTCAGTATTCCCTACCTCTTGGAAAAAAGCCATTGTCCTTCCTTTAAATAAAAAGCCTAATCCATCCTCACCCGAAGATTTCCGTCCAATTTCAATTCTTTCTAACCTCTCAAAGCCTCTTGAAAGACTAGTGCAATCTCAAGTCTCCAAGTTCCTCGAAAAGTCCAACCAATTTGATCCTCTCCAATCTGGTTTGCGTCCCGGCTATTCCACACAATCTGCCTTAATTAAAATTACTAACGACATTCAATCTGCAATAGATGATAGAAAATTAACTGTCCTCATTCTTCTAGACTTCTAAAAAGCTTTCGATTCCATCAACCATTCCATCCTCTTCAACAAACTAAAATCATTATCTTTCTCCAATAGTTCCATCTCCTGGTTCCAATCTTTCCTCTCCCAACGCACCCAAGCAGTAGCAATACCCAACCAACCACTATCTGCTTTCCTTTCTTTATCCTCTGGAGTTGCCCAGGGTTCAAGCATATCTCATCTCCTTTTCAGCTCCTACATTAACGACCTACCTAAATCAATTCTCCATTATTCCCATCACCTTTATGCAGATGATTCCTAGATCTACCTAACCTTTTCTCCCTCTGAGTTACTGGGGGCATTTGCCAAGATTCAAGAAGACCTTGAAATGTAAATGGATTAAAGTTAAATGCTGCCAAAACTCAGGCCATTGTCATTGGTTCCTAGCCCCTCATTAGATCCCATACTGACTTTCCCATATTACACCTTAATGACCAGCCAATTTCTTTCTACTCCTCTGTTAAAAATTTAGGATTTTTCATAGATCAAACCCTCTCCTGGACCTACCATATTTCTCACATTTCCCGTCGGACAATTTCTACCCTTAAACTATTTCATCGCTTCCGCCATCTCCTACCTCAACATATCCGTAGACTCCTAATTTCCTCTCTCATCTTCCCCCACTTTGACTACAGCTGTGTGGTGTATGATGGCCTCTCGGTGGAGCTCCGTGATAGACTGAACAGATTAATGAATAGCTGCGTAAGATTTGTTATTGGTGCCCCGAGGTACTCCCATGTCTCTCACCACTACACTGAGTAAAGGTGGCTCTTCCCCTCCTTCCGAAGACAATACTTTCTAGGTACGTTCCTCTACCAAATCATCAACAACCATCGTCCGACTTACGCCTACAACCTTCTCCAGTTCAAATCCTCAGTCCATTCCCTGTCCACAAGATCTCGACCTTCTGACCTTTACATGCCTTCTCACAGATCTGCCTCATTCCAAAATTCCTTTATTGTTCGCTCTGTCAATTTCTGGAATTCCTTCCCTATCAAAATTCGACATTCCCCCTCCATATCCACATTCAAATCCCTCCTATTCCAATTCCTATCACAAAAACAGTCAGATACTTGCTAACCATTCGAGCGGATTTTAATAGAGAATTTGATACATTTTTATTTTTTAATTCTTTATTTTTTTCGGAAAAGTGTATACTGGTCTATAAGAGCAAATAGCTTTAAGTTTCTTGTCATAGTATTAATGGTTTTGTATATAGTTTAGTTTGTTTTGTATATAGAATTTTTACCTTATATTTTTTTTTTACATTATTTCTTTTTTTCGATTTATTTTATTTTGGCCAGATGTAATATTTTAATTTTGTTCTATTTTGTTATTCTCAAGGGACTGTGTCCCAGAATAAAGTTATTTTTCTATTCTAAAAAAAAAATAAAATTAAAAATTATTAGAAATATGAAGATTTTCGTGATAATTTAGTAGATTTTTTATCTAAATGTAAAAAATGTTTAATTATACTAAATTCTAATTTATTTTGAAAAATGATTTTACATATTTTAAAAAAAAACACATCACTTTGATGCTTACTAAAATAACATTAATTGTTATTTCAAGTTTAATTCTAATTTTTTCAGTGAGAGGCAACAGATTACATTTGCTAAACTTTCAAAAGAAAGATATTTTCAAGTTAAAAACGTTGACGATGCACACTTAATACATAATAATAAATATTCTTTTAAAATATATTTTCTAATTATCTTAAACTTCTTTTCAAAGAGACATTTTAATTAAATAAGTTTCTCTGATTAATTATTTTATTTCTAATATAATTGTTTAGGGATTCTATGAAATTTAAATATGTCTAAATACGACAGGCTACTACTACAGGTTTATCTTAACGGCATTTCAGTTTGGGTCGATGAATCTGATGTTACTCAAAATATTTTTAAATTTATCTCGATATTATATTATATTTTGTGAATATTGGTCAAATCTGGTTATCCAAAAGGTCGAAAGCGTAGTTTCCGTTTTAAGCAAAATAAACAAAATTGACGTTCAATCAATGACGCTTAACAGCTGATAAGGGCATAAGTGAAGGCTCCTCTGCACTTTATATTATTGATATATAATATATTTATGTATACAGGATATATATATATTTATATATATATATATATATATATATATATGTGTGTGTGTGTGTGTGTGTGTGTGTGTGTGTGTGTGTGTGTGTTATGCGGATATTATAATATTACAGAACATTAAAATCGACCATACGCACTCTTCACTAATAGCCATCTTATCATTAATTATAAAATTATTTTGTAAAATTTAAAAATGGTTGTTGTGTTTACATTTTAATAGCTATATCATGGGATATGAGAGCTATTTATTTATATGTCCTGTATGTGGGTTTGTCCGATTGGTCACTCTGATTTTAGGGTCTAAAAATATTTCCGATTTGAAAAAAAAATGTTTGCATTAGAAGGATTTAAGGCTCTACATTACGACCGAAACGGATCACTAACCATAAACAACAATCGAGTTGGAAAATTTTATGCTTCTCATGAATGTAAATATAGTGCAGAAACGGACTTTTAACCATACAGGAGTCGAACCGTGATATTACTGTGTTTCATCGAATAAAAATACGTTGTATTATCTTGATCAGGTTGCTAAGAAAAACGTTATATATTCATATTCCAGAGCAAAAGAACTAAAAATTATAATGGAAGGAGATGGTTAGGGGTGGCGGTCATAAATAGGCTAAATAGTGACAAAACCACTATTTATTACTTTAAAACATTCATTCTTGGCTAATGTAAAACCAGGAAAGTGAAAACTCTATTAATAAATATTTTATTTACAGATTCATGATTAATCCTTTAATTTGTTCGTACTATATTCGGATTTTTTTTTATATTTAGTTTATCAGCTGTCTCTAGCTATGTGATACAGTCATAGTCCGTGGTAAAGACCCCTTTTTTTATCAAATTATTAACATCCGCTGAAACTTCGTAAATAGCTTCATGGCGTCGTAACCTGCAAATATTTTATTTACGAAAATTCACGGAATTGGGTCGTTTTGAATCTGAAGGTCGGCAAACTTTGTGTATTTAATTATGTACTAAAATCTCATAAATTTGCTTTCAACTGGGATCCTAAGATAATATGTCCACAAATCGAGAAAAAAAGTGGCCTTCAAAAATATTGAACCGTTTGGCGTGACCTACTCTTCCATATTGTCAAAATAACTAGGTTATATAGATCAAACGGCACAATATTTGGTAGCCCATCTTTTTTATAGATTTTGTGATCCAATTATCTTACGATTCAAGTAGAAAGGAAATGGGTATTTACGAGCTTTTAATACCTAATTAAATAAATTTTGCCGATCTCCAGATTGAAAACATCCTAGCTCCAATGATTTTCGTAAATAAAATATTTCTAGGTTACGGTGAGATGAAGCTATGCACGAAGTTTCAGACGGATTTTAAAAATTTAATAAAAAAGTCGTCAGTGACACGGACTATCATCTTTAATGAAAGTTTAACTCCTGTGAACCGTTGTTCACAACTAGTTTTTATATTAAAGTTAAGTAAACTTGATATTAATTAAGCTTAGGATATCAGGGAAAAGGCAACACCCAGCAGCACCTCTTAGGTCCATAACACGGAAGGAATGCTCTCATCCAGCTCTTTTTCGTCATTTTATATCAAGGGGCAAATCAACAAGAGCCATATTTGTTATCAGGTTGTAAGATGGCTGTAGAGATAATGAGACCCCATTTGTTTATCAACTGCTGTTTGTTATGAATCAGTTTGTAGAGTTTTGATTTTTATGAAGTATCGTTTTGTTTTAATATTTCAGATTAAAAGTTTTGTAAGTTTAATTGATCCGTTTAGACTTAAGTACGCATTGATTGAAGTATAAGATAAGTGTGCATCGTCAACGTTTTTAACTTGAAAATATCTTTCTTTTGAAAGTTTAGCAAATGTAATCTGTTGCCTCTCACTGAAAAAATTAGAATTAAACTTGAAATAACAATTAATGTTATTTTAGTAAGCATCAAAGTGATGTGTTTTTTTTTTTAAATATGTAAAATCATTTTTCAAAATAAATTAGAATTTAGTATAATTAAAAAGATCATTGAAGTAATGTAATTTGTTTGTACATTTTTATGATTGAAATAAAATTTAGTCGATATTTGAAAATTCTTGTAAGAAATTATTTTACCAACTACAATTTTTTTTTCTTTTTTAATATAAATTGTAATATTGACTGCAGTAAATCATGCTAGATTTATCCCCATATAAATCATTGTAAGCGCGGTTAATGGAAAATGAAAGGCCCGTTTTCCGGGTAAAAAAAATGCTTCTCCATTAGTTAATCTATAAAAAATATTGCGATTTACCAAGGAAAAGTAGCTTTGACACTTTAAGGGGGTTGAAATATTATTCATCAATCCGGATAATCTGTTTTCAAGATACGAGAGATGGCCGAGGAGGTGATGAGATGATATCTGATAAAACAATTAATGAATCTAATGCCCCCGATTTGGTTTAAGTTTATTTTTAATGTTATTAATTATCATTTAAATTTTTATTGACATATATATGGCATATGTGCGGTGTATACCTCTTGAAAAAAATATGCAATTTTTTAATAACAAAATGATGATATGAAATATTCTAAATTTACAGCAGACTTAGTACTGTAAGTATTTTTATAAAAAAAGATGTCTTGTCTAGTACAGAAACCTAAATTTTTATTTATGTGTTCGCATATATATATATATATATATATATATATATATATATATGTGTGTGTATCGAATCTACGTGGATTAACATAAATTAATAATTCCTATTTGCGATAACATGTACTTACTGATGAATTAATACTTTAAATTAATTAATAGTTTAAATTTTACACAAGTTTAATTATAAATAATTTATACAAAAATTTGATTATTAAATTGATGGTATATATATATATATATATGTGTGTACTTAATACAAATTTTGAATTGTTGATATCTATTACTTCAGTTTATTATTAGTTAAATTGAGTGGTCAATAGTAATATTGTTAGTTAATTTTATATACTTATCAATTAAAAATATATTGGGTATTATAAGGCCTTAAAGGTAAAATATGAAAAATGTTAAAATTAAAAACAAAACGATAGAGATAAATTTGATTGTTCGTTTATAATATTATGCATCTCTCATATATAATGTATATTATATTATATATGTCTCATCATATAATCATAAACACTCTCTTTGTAATAGCCCTGGAGCCAGGGCCAAAAAATCGATCTGATCGCAGGCGAAGGTTTGATTTTAAATTACTAAAGTGTATGTTATTCTGAGTAAAAAGAACTTTGTCTGCCGTTCCAGATCCGCTGAATTCAAAAATGGCGGCTGATTTAAAGAATATTAGGCCAATAATTTGAGGAGCGAAACGGGAAATCCATTGCGAAAAATGTGAGAAAAGTTTTAATTTTTTAAACTTTTATATATGGGTTTAGACATGTAAAAAACAAAATTGCTAACGTGGGCCACCAAGGGAAATCTTTTTACAGCCAAAAAAGTCAGATTTTTTCGATGTTTTTTTCTTTTTTCACCTATAACTCCTAAATGATGCATCAAAGCGAAAAATATATTCTTTAATAAATTAAAGACCATTAAATTTTGCGTCAAACGAGTACATAAACTTTAAAATTTGGTAACGTGGTAAAGTATAAAACCACGGTCAACCAACGCTGAGTTTTGCTAAATTTGTCAAAAACTGAGACAAATTAATATAAATGGACCTGTAACTTGGAAATGAGTTCCCTAAGAGGATAAACCCCTAGAATCAAAGTTGTAGAGCCTCAAATTTTGCGTATACTGAGTATTGACATTTTTATTGTAGGCCAATTATATATCTCGAATCGCGATTCGTTATTCCTTTATAAAATTCGGTATGTTTCGGCACATCGTTTACCAAAATCTTTTGCTGTTGAGAGGCAGAAAAGAGGCTTATACTGCATGTAACAGACTTTAAACAAAACTAACTCAGTAAAATAGACAATCATACTGTCGAAATATTGAAAATCACGTTTACCTTTATTACCAATTTCTAACCACCGGGAGATTACCGATTTTGTTCGCAGTAAGTAGCCTACATTAAATTAGTTGCTGCTCAGTATATGCAAAATTTGATGCTCTACAACTTTGATTCTATGGGTTTTTCCTCTTAGGCAACTCATTTTCAAGTTACAGGGCCATTTATAGTACTTTGTCTCAGTTTTTGACAAATTTGGTAAAACTCAGCATTGGTTGACCGCAGTTTTATATCTTACCGCATCACCAAATTTTAAAGTTTATGTACTCGTTTGACGCAAAATTTAACGTTCTTCAATTTATTAAAGAATATATTTTTCGCTTTCATGCATCGTTTAGGAGTTATAGGTGAAAAACCAAAAAAACATCGAAAAAAT